AGGAATTACACATCATCTCAGAAAGAGCGATACCACTGTAGATCGATGCCTAAAAATATTAGACCAGTCAATGTATCAAATAACTACAAATTTTTTTAGATTAAAAAATTTCCGAGATATTAATTTTTTCTGTCTGGAACACTTTTTTGTAGATACCATTTTTTTTTCTTTTTCACATATAATTTTTGGTATAATAATAGTCTCAATTTATTATATTTTTTATATATAATTATTGCTAACGAAAATATTTAAAAATTAAAATTTTAAACATTTCCTAAAATTTATCCAATATGGTCCATTTTAGAGAAATCATCATGTATGAAACAAAAATTATAGAAAATGATATAGCAAATACCTTTTATATAAAGAATTTTTTTCTTAAAAAAAACTACACCCTATAAAGTACCCCAGATGCTTCGACTATGCTTAAAATTGAACCGGCTAACACCAAGGGGTTTATTCGTTCATGACTTATCAAGTATACAGACACACACACACACAGACACGCACGCACAATCTATCAGTATAACAAGAAGCAGTAGAGTTTAACATACAAAAGTATACATAAATAGATATAAATTAAAACCTTACTAAATATGAACCTTTTGGTCTTTCACCCACCCTGTGATAAAAGATTGAGATAAAATTGGTAATACGGTCTCTATCGATCTATCTATCTGAATTAGGGTATAGCTCAAAGCCTACTCGTACTGAAGCTCTAGGCTTTATTGTACCCCACAAAGTTTCTACCCCTTTAGAATAATTTTTCGCGATTTTTTTAGGTTCCGGATATTGTACCCCTAAGTGTCATTCAAGTTTTCATTTAAGGTTTCGACAGTGGCATAGTATGTGAGTAGGAGTTTTGTCCTTCTCTTCACATATTCTACATGGGTAGTCATAATATATCCCTAAATTTAGGTGTCTTCCAAAGCCGTAGTGTCCCATAAAAAGTCCTATTACGGCCTTGGGTTCGCTTCTGCTAAGCAGTTGTATTTGTCTGCTCTTGGATAGACCCTCTATAAATATTTTGGACTATCTACGTACAGAAAGTTTCAAGTAGAGCCTATGATGTTCTCTATTTATTTGTTCCGTTAGCACCCATTTAATGTGTTGGTAAATACCACATGTGGGTTCTGGTCTAATTAGAGTTTGTTCTGCTCCCTTCCCTCCAAGAGTATGATACAGTAGATTGTACACAATAATCGATAACAACAACAAATCTTGCATTTTTAAATTAAGACTATTATTATACCAGAAAGTATATGTGAAAACGAAAAAAATTGGTTTCTACAAAAAAGTGTTTCAGGCAGAAAAAATTAATATCTCGGAATTTTTTATCAGGTCGGTGGTGTAGCGGTCTCAAGCGCTTATATTCGTTTATAGGCAAGTTTGTGGTCAGAGACATAGGGGCTTCGTATCCTACACCAAACCATGTGGATTTTTAATTAAATTGCATGGTTCGGTATAGGATTTGATGTGTGCCGTATTAATTGAAATTCAATTTCTGTTGATTTGACATGCAGATTATAAAATCGCCATGTATTACCGTCCCGATGATGGTGAGCTAGGTTTTATTATTTTATTTATTATTTTATTGTTTATTATATTTCTTGCTAGGAGGTCTGCTTTCTCGTTTCCAAACACTCCCTCATATCCTGGAACTCATTCAAGGGTGACCTTGTTATGTTCTGCCAGAGCCTGGAGGGACTGCTAGCAATCAAATATTAATTTAGATTGTACTTATACCCTTTTTATCCAATGATTTTAAGAGAAATGATTAGTCTGAAAGATTTAGTCTCCATTTAAGACGTTTTCTGGGATTTGGGAATGAAGACAACTTTTGCATCCTCCAGCTTTGTGGAACATATCCGAGGGCTATGCCAGCTCGGAATAATTTACACAGTGGTCGGTCCAATACTTTCTGGCCCTTTTGTGAAAGTACCGGAATTATACAATTAGTCCAGCTGTCTTGTATGGTTGAAATTAATGTATAGCCCACACAAGTTTTGTTTTGTTTACTATTGAGTTTGCAAGAAACCAATTTGTTTTTGAGTCCCTAGAAATTAGTGCTTCGATACTCCTGTTCTCCTGGTCAAGAATAATCTCACATCCAGAGTAGTGTGACTTAAAAAGTCTCCTCCTCTGTTTTTGTAAGTTCTTCTTGTTGATTTTTTAGAGATCCCATACATCCTTGCTTATCTCTTTGTAGAGTTTTCCAGAGTCTGGAACATTCTGGAAGGATTTCAATGTCGTCACATAATTTCTTCCAGAAATTTTCTTTGGCTTTCGTAATGGCATAAGCATATTCTCTCCGGTACGCTTTATAGGCTTCCCAATTCCCCGACCTTTTGGACAGGTTAAAGTGTTTATGAGCTTCTGCTCTTTTTTTTGGAAGGGTCTCGATTTCACTATACAGCATCTCGATCCCTTCCCTTATTTTTATTGGTGTTGGTTAAGGTTTGTATCAGAAACTCTGACATAAACTCAACTTCCACTAAATTCTTTGGTATCGAAGGACAGTTCTTCAGTCCCTGCTTAAGTTTTTTCTTGCAAGATCCCCAGTTGCAGGACCCAGGATTAAATTATGTCTTTTCACCCGAGGATTTTGTACCCAGGATATGCCTATGTTTAGAAAGTGACGCTACGTTTGAGACGTGCCAGTTCCCCACCAATAAACACGCCCGTTGTGTACCAAAGGTTATATCAATTACCCCACATGGACATGTGAGGTGAGACCGGCAATGTGGTGTATCTACTGTATTTTTTTATTATTCGTATTTTTTTTGAAAATTATTAATATTATAGATTTATTTATAAACTATCTAATAGTAACAAAAAAATATAAAACGTAAAAACACTGTAAACTATATTTTTTTCAAAAAGTGGCTGAGCTCTACCGGAATAGTATTTTTTTAAATGTATTCTTTTTTTTGTCGTCAACTTATGGTAGTCTGACTCCGATTAATTATGTTTACTAGAAACTTTCCAGGTTAGATTTTAGATTAAGACAGGAGGTAGACATCGGTCTTTCTACATGGCTTCTTTTCAGATCTATTGTGATACCAGACTAATTAGATACTAAATTAATAAAATGAACAGAAACCGATAAAAAAACATTCATAAAATTAATTATTATTTAATTAAGGTTAAATATGTAGTTGTAAATCTATCATTCAATAAAAATCAGTCCCAACTTGTCCTTCCCTGTGGTAGCGCTTCTGGCCAGAAACTGTGAATTGGGATATTCCAAGCAGCTTCAGACCGAGAGATAAAACATAGGAAATTTCCGGAATTGGTTTGGTGCCAGGGCAATTTACTTTTTTGCATTTTCACAATGGCTGGTATATAGCGAAGAAGGAATTCCTTGGTCGTGGAATTTTTTCTTTATTTTCCAAGGAGTGTATGAGTGTCGTGTCATTTCTTCCACAGTAATTATATTTGATGAGCGAACCTTACAAAACAACTAAATTAACAGTAAGCAGTAAACTTTTCTTATAATTTCTTTTGGAAGACCTCAGATCAATATTGCGAAATTTAATCCAAATTCTGCTGCAGGTATTTAAAATAATTTTTAAATTTATAAAATAACTAAAAGATACTGAATAAATGTGTTTTAATTTGAAATAAATAGTTACATTAAAGTTTATGTTTAACTGCTCAAAGGACCCCGCACACCGCTTATGGAAAAGTGGCAACCTGTTAAATGTCATAAATTTTTGATATGTTGCAGTTCTCGACTTCCTAAGCAAAAGTTTTTGAGATACAGGGTGTTAAACTTAAGAAATACCACTTATTTGATAACGGTTATTTTAAGAGACAGCTAGACGATTTTAATTTTTTGTGTCAAATCTTATTGTAACATCCTTTGGAATTCTACGAATATAAAAAGAGGTCAAAAATTATTTTATTTTACAGGGTGAGCCACAAAAAAGTAAGGACGTGTTTTTGATAAATACTTTTATTGTTCTAGAAGATGAAAATATTTTCTAAAAAATAAATTATTGCTATATTTATCATGTCAATATTTTTTTATTAGTATTAATGTGAAACGCAGTATTTTTACGGGACTTTTGTGTATTTACGATATATAAAATTATCCAATTTATTGACTACAGGTTGATTTAATACACATATAAAACTGCACTTAAGACTTAGATAACTATATTAATTAAATCACCGTGTATAAAATTTTATCTAATTTCATTACGCTGATGAAAGAAAATATGGCCCTTCATCAGCATTTTCATCCTGTGTATATCGTATGTATGTAACGTGTTTTATTCTCATTCAAGCAATAAATCTAGTAATAATTTATTTTCTTTTATAAGTATACGAGAATAATTTCACCACATACCTAAGCAATAAAAGACAATATCCAAAACATGTCACTCGATAGAACAACTATTAATATATTTAACAAATTACTCTGTAGTTAATGAAAGTGATAGTTATAAATATGTTAATAATTCAATACTTACTTGTACAATAATATAACTATTGTAGATACATACACATTCCTGTCAATTAAAAATATTGCGTATCACATTAAAACATATTGTTCTACGTTGATATTTACTAGTCAATCTCTATAATGTGTTACATGAAATATTTAAAAATGAAAAATCTACCAATAATTTATTTTTCGGGAAATATTTTCATCCCATTGACAGACCAATAAAATAAATTACCAAAAACATATATTTTCTTATTTGCCACTCATTTTATGGATGAACATATTTTAATCCCTGTGTGTATTCGTGGAATGCCAAAAAATTGCAATTGATTAGCTTTTTCCTGGAATAACAGATAACAAAAAGTGGGTATTTCTTAAGTGAAATCCTGTAGGTATCTCAAAAACCTATCATATTAAAAAGCTGTAATTTTTTGGAATTTATTTTCTACAAAATGGTTGATACACCAGTAAAGCAAACACCTTTAGAGGACTAAAATTACAGGGTGATTTATCAAATTTTGTTGACCAAAATCAATATATTTATGTCAAAGATCATATCTGCACCTCAAACCAGAAGGGTATTAAGTCACAAATTCAATATTTTACAGGAGAGCGAAAAACGTTTATTTTTATTCGTTTTTCCTGTATAACAGGGCTTGTTTTTTCTCATTGTTTTTTGCAAAAATTGTAAGGAAGGACACCATTACTTAATGATCCAAAATTTTGTTTAGCTTTTTTGTTTATGCACAAAACAAAATAGACAAAAATGTGACTTAATACAAACTGTTTAGTGTTAGTAAGTAGGTAAAAATCAAAATACCCTACTACATTCTGTATAATAATCGAAAAAAATAAGGCAAGTTTTTTTAATCGAAAATTATTAAAGAAAAAAACACAAACACAGAACTCATTATGTAATTTAGGTAATAGGAAATTTTAAGTATTAGTCACCATTATCTTGGTTTAAATTTTTGTCACTGGGCCAAGTTCTGATAAAAAGGGTGGAATATCTTAGGCACCCACTTTAGTAATTTTTGAAGGTAGGTATATTTTTTTGATATTATTAAGTTAGGGATTTCTCGAAGTGGAGTCAATAATGAGTTTTCTATGTTAAGATGCTGCTTTCGGCTTCCTCTTCTGTTGAAATCTATGCTATCAAATTCCTGATCAAAATCACTTTTAAAAAACAGAACACCTGGAGAGTCCTGCCTGCCTTGCTTTAAAACTACTTTTGAAATCAAAAATTTTTCGCCCTTCTCTGTTTTCTTGCAATTTTGAAAGGGAGCGTTAGGTATGTTGTAGAGCTTGTTAAAGTCCTTAAAATCAGGAGTTGTCATTTCAAATACAACGTAGTCTTTGTTTTTGCCAGAGAGGCGAGCCAACTGCATCCAGTGCCAAGGAGTCATTATTTTATAATTTGGGCATTCTTTAGATTCCTGTTCAATCACGGAGTGGATACTATCCACCTCCATGTGAGTATGACCACGAAGGAGAAACTTATGGCTAATCTGCTTTATTTGCGGATTTATCGCTAAAATATAAAAGTACCACATAATCATTTGAATGTTCTGATTTTGTGATGGGCAGTTATCTGTCCAAATAATAATCGATGTTATCGTTTTGGAAATAGAGTTTATGTAGATCATCAGACAGGAAGCCATTTCATTTCCTCCCCTGTCAGCAATGAATTCATTCCAGATTAAGCAATTTGCTTTCTTATTTGAGGAATCGTAGATTGTATAGTTAAAGCACCATAATTTCAAACTACAAAAACTTTGAGCATTTGATAATTTTGGACATGTAAACACTTTTACAGGTCAATCATTAACACAATTTTTTCAGGTTTGTCTAAGGGTAACTGTTTATCTTGTTTTTTTAATTCGTATCTTTTATCAGCTTCATTTAAATGTGAATCATAATCCGTTTGTATTTTTTCTCTCTCAATGGGAGAACCTGCCTGCCTCAGATTGACAGCAAACTCATCACAGGTATCGTTTGCAGGAGGAGGGAATGCTAGGTTAAATTCAGTGTTAAAGATTTGGCTATAAATCCATTGTTTAAGAATGTCTTCTGGACGTATGTTCTCCAATTGGCGTTGTTCTCTATACAATTTATACATGGTGGAAATGTTCAAATGACTGCCCAAATACTTTTTTGCGGTGCGCCTCCTCACCTGGAAATGACATGATGTGTTAACGAATCGCATTCTTATCTTCATCCTTAATTTTATTCACTGATGGCTGTTTCCCCCTTTTATCACATTCGAACATGCCACTCGATTGTCGTTTTTGTAGAGAAAACCTGACAAATGTCTGTGAAATATTAAGGGTGTTTAAAAAATATGTTCGACACACCTGTATTTTTTTTCCATCTATAAGGAAATAATATTTTAGAGTATAGAGTCGTTTTTCTTCTCGACTGCCTGTTCGTTGCCTTGCTCTTAAAATAGGTGCCTGTAGAATGGATAAATACAAAAATTGTCTCTTTTGATCAATAGAGATATCTTTTTTCGACTTAATACGGTTTTGCTCTGTAAACTGTATGTGATTTTGTGGACATGTGGAAAGTAGTTAATACTCTTCTGCTCTCATTACTATGTTGACTTAATACCATTTTTAAAATGCTATTTCAAAAGCCTTTAGTCCAAGGGTTCTAAACTTTTGCCAGCTGATTAAGCGCGAAATTTTAAGTAATTTAAATTAAAAAAAGCGGGAAATCAAAAGTTTGGACTTAATACCCTTCTGCTCTGAGGTACAGATATTATTATTGTAACAAATTTAGTTGTATTGGATGTAAGAACAAGGTATTATTGAATATAAATAAAGTATATTTAAAAATAGTGTAATACTTCTTATTTCAAGATTATTAATTTCTTCAATGAAACTATCCTATAATTTAACCAAAATCAATATATTTATGTCGAAGATCATATTATTATTGTAACAAATTTAGTTGTATTGGATTTAAGAACAAGGTATTATTGAATATAAATAAAGTATATTTAAAACAAGTGTAAGACTATTTCATTTAAGATATACATAATACTGTAATTGAGCAATAATAGATACTCTTCATTTAATTAATGGTATTTTGGTTAGGGCAAGTTGATTATAGTCTTAAAGCAAGGCTTATTAGCTATTGTTGAACAAGTATTACTACAATTTCAATTCAAAACGAGTTTTACTTACGGATATACAAACACAACAAAGCATTGAAATAAGACCATTTATCTTGAATATAGTACACCTTTTTTTCTGTGTAATTATCAAAAACACGTCCTTACTTATTTGTGGCTCACCCTGTAAAGAAAAATAATTTTTAACCTCTTTTTATATTCTTATGTTATGTTTTAAATTCTTAGAATGCGAAAAGATGTTACAATAAGATTTGGCACAAAAACTTATAATCGATTAGCTTTCTCCTGAATAACCGTTATCAAATAAGTTGTAGGCTCTATTATGAGCTTCCACTCCGTTTAGATTTCGGTTAGACGGTGTGTGTGCTATGGTTTGTGCACCAGGGAAGTGAATTTTGAAGAGTTCCCTTACTATTTCCTTCCCTGTGATTGTGTACTCCCCCAGTTTATTCTTAAGGGTGTTTATTGGGTGTTGTGTGTCTTTTGAGATAATTTTTTGGAGCCTGGCACATTCTTGAATGCTTGCTATTTCCTCACAGTGCCTTCTCCAAGACTCTCTCTTGACTTTTCGTAAGGCTATGTTGTAACAGGTGCGTATGGTTCTATATAGTTCCCATTCGCCGGTTATTTTAGCCTTATTAAATTTTTGTCTCGCCTGTTTCCTTAGTATAGCAAGGTCATCATTCCTCCATGGAACTTTCCTGATAGAGTTCCTTGCTATTAAGGGACAGGTATCGTTGAAAGCGCTAGTGACTGTGTCATTAAACTCATCCACAGCCATTTCTAGGTCGGTTATTGTTCTTCTATTTTATTAGTAATTTATTTCACAATATAATAAAACCTAATTTAATGAACCATGAACTTAAATATTAAAAAAATCGAGTAGATTCTAACTTTAAAAAATACAAATTTTAATCACATTTAACTAATAAAAAAAATATATTCTACACATTATGTTACATATAAAATAAGCTTTTAAATGAATTGTCACACTTTACAATACGTAACAGGCGTTTATTCCACTAGAGGGCACTAAAATCAAAGCAATGCAATTAAGGAGGTCCTTTCGCCACCAATGTTAAATAAAAAATATTAGATTATCACTAAAATTAATTTTTTTCTAATAGTTGAAGTCCTTATTTATCTAATAGTGAACTTTTAACTATACCTTACCGTGCAAATTTTTGAGAATTGTTTTTTTAAAATATGTGATTATTTGTACAGTGTCTTACGAGAAAGTAAGACTTAAACAACAATTTTCGAATTATAGTTAAGTATACTATTATTTATTGATTAGATGGAGTAGAAAAAAACTAAAAATAAGGTTTTTGAAATATTTAGGTTTTGTTTTTTACAATAAAATATATAGGTTACCGTGGAATTTATTGAGAAATTAATATTAAAAAATCACAAAAAATTTTCAGCTAGGTTACTTGAATTTTTTTTTTAATATTAATTTCTCAATAAATTCCACGGTAACATATATATTTTATTGTAAAAAACAAAACCTAAATATTTTAAAAACCTTGTTTTTAGTTTTTTTCTACTCCATCTAATCAATAAATAATAGTATAATTCGAGAATTGTTGTTGAGGTCTTACTTTTTCGTAAGACACTGTACAAATACTCACATTTTTTAAAATAAAATTCTCAAAAATTTGCACGGTAAGGTATAGTTAAAACTATTAGATAAATAAGGACTTCAACTATTAGAAAAAAAAAATTTTAGTCATAGTCTAATATTTTTTATTTAACATTGGTGGCGAAAGGGGTGGCGAAAGGACCTCCTTAATTGTCACATTGCTGAATTTTACATAAAATTATCTTTTAAATGACGTCACGTAACATTAACACCTTTTGCAAATATGACTGTATTAACCCTTAAGTTACCCTTCTTGTCATCCACGCTTTTATTGGATGTAACTCTACGTATTCATTCTTTGGGCAAGGGAAAACAAAAATTGTTATTAGATTTCAAAAACATCGAGATATTAATTACAATGCTGTGATTTTCTTGGACAGCAACGCCAATCCAGATGATATTGCAGCTGCAGGCGAGCGTATTAATTGCTCTTTATGAAGGATGGCACAGAACACAGAACCTGAGCGATCTGAGGTACAATTTATTACGACTGGCCCATATTTTAGGAGTTCATAAAATCTTTACATGAGTCAGTCAAGGGTTGTTAGAATTAAAATAATTTTAATAAAAGATTGCTCTCGACTAAGTCAGTTTAAGTAACGTTTAATTATCGCTGAACTAAAGAGTGGTCTGGGTTTTTAGTCAAAGAAATAGATTATATGCAACAGATCAAAATATTGAGGGGTTTATATAATATTAATTAAAAATTTGTTCAAACAATAAATATATAAAACTCCACTTAGTACTATGTGATTTACAATGCCAGATAAATACCTTTTTATTTGAAATTTAATATTAAATCTATTGATGATGATATAATCGAGCTAGTAAGGTACAATATAGAAAAATATGCGGTTTACAATTATTATCTTCATATACTTAATTATTATTTTGTAGATATTTAATGTACCCCAAGTAATTGGGTCGAAATCACCGTAACACCTACTTATAATTTGGAGTTATAATTTAAAATATTCTTACTTGTTTTCGAATAAAACTATTGTAAGGTTTTAAATAGCTCCAGCCTAAAAGAATATTACCACTTCAACCCCTACAAGCATGCGTTGGTGTTACTATGGTGGTATTCGTTATTAAACTTCTACTAAATGGAAGGTGAGTGATGGGTCCAATGTTATATTTAAAAATCATATATTGAGTAGAAGTATTTATCGTAGATGGTATCTGGTAATTAATAGGAAGTTGGTAATAAGTGATTGTTAGTGCCAGTGTTTTGGTAGTTGGCCGAAACGAAGTAGAGGCTTTTTTAAAGATATGTACACAAATCCACTAACGTGAAAAATCGCTTGATTAATCTTCAATATACAATATATTTGGATTTCTTTTCGTTTTAGGCGTTTTAAATTTCGACAATTTTTAATGATTCCACATGGCCCAATATCAGCCCAAAAAGACAGAACCAGGAAGTGGGAGAGAAAGCAAAATTTCCTTAATCTGAATAGGATAATTTTATTTACCATTACATAAACCTAACCGTGGTAGGCTTTTGTGTTATTATTTTTAGGCAGTAGAGTAATATTTTGGCCATTAAAAATAAAAATAAGATTTTAAGTTCAAGGTCAATATTTATACTTTGGAATGTAAACAATAATTCCAGTCTATCAAATAAATAATAATTAAAAACATATTTTTTTCTTAAAGTTTATTTTGTGTTTATTAAACCTGTCGCACTAAAGTAGTGAGCCCGTAACAAATTTATTTACAAAAAGCTGAGACAAAAACAAACTTCAACCAAACAAGATTGCCTCCTACTAAGAACTTACTCAGATTTGACTCACTCTGCACCTACTACCAGGTAAAATAGCGTGTAAATACAATTTAGCTACCTGCATATTTGCTCTTTGATAAGAAATTGATGATTAAACTTGATTTATACTCGGTTTTATTTTTTCGTTAATCCAGAAGTAGTTAGTAGTTAGTTAACAAGGAGCCTCTTGACTGTAAGTGACTGCATATTTCCCAAGGTTTCAACCCTAAGATAATAATAAGTAACGCGGCGCCACATCTCCTAGATCTTATGTATACCAAAAAAAGTCTGCAACCATGTTTGCAGCAGCAAGAATGTTGGCCTAAAGCAATTCGTATTTTGCATCCACTGCAAGGGAGTCTCATGTGACAACGTTCCTAAGCTCACTTTAGGCCTGGATTATTTACCCACAGATGACCTGCCAGACGAATGTGAACTAAACATAGAATTATGGTTATCCATCTTGGACCAAAGTCTTGGATCAACGAGTCCATCAAAGAGGTTAAAATTTTATTAAAATAAACACATCCTCTAAAGTATTTTTTTAGTATAATAATATTGCTAATGATTCGCCCATGAAAATTAAAAGACATCGCAAGTAATTATAAGTACTTTAATTTTTTTACATACCTACGCCTGTAATTAAAATGACAAAAATCTCTTTTCGTGCTTAAGTGGATGCAGAAGAAGGGTCACTTTGGAGTCCCATGAGACTTTAGTAGAAACCAAATAGCTGATGGGAGAGGGTTTATAAAGAATATACTAGGCAAGAATGTAGGCTTTCATGGCCGGCGTCAATATAATTGTTAGTTTCCGAGCTGTTATGTCAGTCATCTTCAGTGGCGTGGACAAAATAGTCTTCTCGACGTATCAACAGAAACTGAATTCTTTTTCGCTTCGAGTGTGGTATTTATATGCGACTCTGCTCGCTCTTTTTTGGTGTGATCGGTATTAGACG